GCAGTTTTTCTGCTATTGTTTTCATCACAGTTGGTGAGCTATTCAAACAATTTAAAACTTTAAGACAAATCAGTTATGTTGATTTTCTTTTATTGTAAATCTCCCATGTACTGTGGTGTATTATTGTATTAACTAAATACCTTTTCAAAAATTCCAGAATATGCTTTTACCTTTTCATAATTCCTAATAATAATAATCAATATGAATGAGTAGTTTACCAGTGTGCATTTTGATTAACAAGTGGTATTATTTAATCTTTAGTGAGTAAACAAGGATTTGCTGTTAAGAAAGCTGATACACAACAAAAGAGCATTAACAGGTATAAGTTACATCACCTAAAGTATAACAATGTAAACTTTTTAACTTGATTGGATCCAAAGCCTGATAAAAGTGAACAAACTAATGTTCAAGAGAGCAGATAAAGTTAAACAAAATAAAACTTTTATTTTAATATTTTAATTCCTGAAGACCTTTAAGAATAATGATTAAAAAAAAATCAAACATAAGTGTCCAAGAATTTTGTATGAATTAACTGTTAAAGATAACTTAATTACTTTCTCACATCAGAAAATTTATCAACCAAGGAGAGAAAGAACAGTAATACCTATTCTGTCATTCAAATTAACATTTTCTTAAATCAAAAATGTATTTCCAATATTTACCTCTTTTCACACTACAGCTATTACTCGACTGCCAGGGTTTCTTCCTTTGTCCATCTAAGCATTGGTCTGATTTTTTCTTGTTTGTTCCAGTCATTTATACCCCACTTAATTGCCGTTGGCAGTATTTGTCTCACGACCCTCTCCACCAACGTCAATGTGCCCTCTATCCTGGTACTGTACATAAGCACCTCATTTAGATAATGTTATCACTTTTTCAATACTCAATCTGCAATCTCTAACACCGGCTCTTAGTGGGGAGGAAGGGTGGGAGAATGTGAGAGGAGGTAAGTATTATTTTAAATATATTTTCAATTTAAGAAAACTACTAACCTCCTCTCACACTACAACTAGAACCTCATACTTAGAAAGCAGAGAGGATTGAGAGGGCATTATCCATATAGAAAGCATCTGTGTAGATTATAAGTGTGTCAATAGAAGATTGGCACCCTAGTGGGATAATTGCTATACATCCAGTACAGGTATGCTCTTCACCCAGAACATAATTCATGGAACTTTACATGATTTATCATCACTACTATCCAGGCCCCAACCAGATAGCCAAGGTTCCACTGCTCGAGGTTGGAATTATAGGGCTATGGTCCATATATCCCACGTTGGTGACTAGGGCAATTGGAATGCAATATATAAACTTATGAGTGGATTCTAACCTGTGAAGATAAGCAACACCAAAGTGGACAAACCTTCTCCTCAACCTGAAGAAGTCGAAAAGGCAACACTCCAGGCTTGGAGATGGGATATTGTACGCGTTACTCAACCAGAAGAAACAGAACTCATCCGGTCTGGAATTATGAAGACTCATCCTCACTCCCCAACCTTGTGGGCAAGGTAAATTTCTCTTGCCCCTGGAATTATGGGGAGAACGTGACACAAACTGTGCTCAACCAAGGACCCAGGATGGGACCACTATGCACTCAGAGTTACCAGGAAACAATGGACCCTCTTCCACAAACAAGGTACCAAATAAATATCGATAAAAAGAAGGGCCACGCTCAACTGAACCAGATAGCCGAGTGTCAAATCTGAACCTGCATTACAAGTAGGCTCCCACATAGGCTGGTGCCTCTCCTTCCGACATCTTGGAAAAAAACATCAAGGGATCAGGGTAGGAGGGCTCCCAACTTTGCCATCTTCTCCAAGAGTGGAGGATATTCACTCTAACACTCTGGAGGAAAAGCCTCTGTCCACTAACCCAGTAGAATCTAGTGGGGGTGGGGTAATGAATGTTGGGGAGTTCTGAGGAACAGTACTATGGAAACAGTACAATAGGTGAACCAAGTTCCCTAAATTTTTAAAAGCCAACTGATTCCAATTTATGCAATCCAATGATCTGCAAGGACAGGCAGAATCCCCTTATGCTTTACTCATGATAGTCCATGAATGGTGGTCCAGCATAGTACAGTAATACTGCCTTGGCAGCCTCTATGTGGTCTTATGGAACATCTCATTCCTATAAAGCCTGTTGGAACCTAGATAAAGTATATTGAATTATTGGTTGCTTGCATGGAATTGGTTTGATAAAAGCACACCTGCCTGGGCACCAGAGTGGGATCCTGTGAAAATGAGGTAAGGGACCCTGAAAAGTAAAGAAGACACAAGCATAGTAATGAAAATACTTGGCCCTCTGTCTAATCTAGCAGAAGTGGTTAACATAGCTACAGGGTGTAGTCAAAAACCCTCAGTTAAGATACTGCCAGATCATGCAAATAATGTGACATAAAAGTATTGGGGAGGTCCACATATTGTCCTCCAGTGGGCAATTTGACTAAAGACATAGAAATATGACAAATCTGATTAGATATAAACATCGCAGAAGAATCCTTGCCTTCAAAGAGAGTCCAGAATAAACAATATGGATCAATTTTGTACCCACCACTTCAATGTAACCAGGGTTAAATACTGGGAAACTGAATGATCCCAATGAATTAAAAGTCATTGTCTAGCATCTCTAAAGACATTAGTGTGGGCAACAAAACCATCAAGACCCTTACAGGACATAAAAATTATTGCAATATGATCGGTCATAGAAAAGAGAAATAATGATCAGATGAATCGGTGAAAAGGATTTATCCCCTTTCCTGGCTGATGGTGTCTTAGGTAAGAAGAACCAGTCTGAGGACATAGGTAGAACAATAAAGCATCTTGTGGACAATCAGCGACAAACCACACTGACTGGCAATGTCTGTAGGTCAG